GATGACGACGATGATGATGGCAGCAGTGACACCAGTGTGTTAGTGGTGCCCTACCCTGAGCTGGTACCTGTGGTCTTCTTCTGCCTTAAGCAGACAACCTTTCCCCGCAGCTGGTGCATCCGCATGGTCTCCAGCCCATATCCTTTTACTTACCTGCTGTGAATCACGATACTGTGGATTATTCCCACTGTGTGTTGCCTTTTCACAACTTAATCCATCATCCGTTATACTTCCATCTCTCAGAGTTTAAACGCAGGCTTTTGGCTATTTCAACCCATCTGATTAGTTCAAAACATCCCCTGTTCCGAGCTGAATTTCTGCCTCCCGTGTGAGGCGAGAGCTGAGAGCAAAGTTCGATGCTTTTTGATGCATTTGTAGAAGGATTCAGATGGAAAATAGCCCAGTAACATTTTCTGTTTTCTCTATTTCGCCATGGTTCATTGCCAGAAGAAAATGCCCTGAAAATACAGGAAATATCAACTCAAAAAAGTCACGAGGAATAAAGACAATAAATATGTTTTTACCTTTATTCAGCAGCAACCAGCCACCTGCTCCATGCTTGCATTGGTCTAATTTATGACATACTTTAAATCTTTGATCCAGGTCAGGCATCTTTGTATTTTGTATATTGTTGGAGTATCTCATCACTCTAAAATAATAGCTCTTCTGCTGTATACCAAATGTCAGCTGTGCTACATTACAGCAGAACCAGTGCAATATGCTAGCAGCCCCCGGGTTCATGAGAGGCTGCTTATCGAGTTTATTAAGAGCAACACTAGCGGCCTGATGATGTGTGACGTTCAAACAAACTTCCCAGAGTTTAGATATCTTTAGAAACACCTCTGAGTCTAAGATGTGATAATGCAGGGAAACTAGGATATGACTGACTGGGTAGAAGTTAGTGAAGTGAAGACAGGAGGGGAAAACACGGGGAAATGGCAGAGATGGAATAACAAATGAAATGCGGGAGGCAGTGAGAAAGAGACAAAATGAAAGGAAATGCAGACTGATGGAAAAAACATAAAGGCTGATGGTAAAAAGAAGTATGATGAAGAAGCAGAGAATATGGTAGCTGGAATTTGGGTGTGTGTCTGTGCACTATTATTTATAGCTTCATTTCTACATTGTTTTATCAGCGGAAAGAAGAAGGTGGGGTGGGGGCATCCTCCAGATCAA